AAAAAAAAAAAAAAAAAAAAAAAAAGAAAGAAGAAACAAGAGGAGAAATGCCAAGCCTTGAAAGGAGGAGCTTATTCAAATCTAAAATATGAATTTTTTTTGAAACTAGATCTCTTCCCCAAAGATCTCTACCTCATGCCCAAGCGTTAAGTAGTGGGGGTCTGGGCTGTGTTTGGGGGGTTATCACGTAAGCAGGGAACAAGAGCTACCCTGGATTCCTCTCCCCCGCCAGCTCAAATCTGGGCAGTGAAAGTTGAGACAAGCATGATTAGACTTGCCAAGGGTGGTGGCCTGAAAAAATGAAAATGGCTTTGCAAATAACTTGAAGAATGGCACTTAGCCTGCTTGCAGCATCTCCTCTTAATGGCGGCTAAGCCTCACTCTTAGAGGAGTGACACGGTAAGTGTGACAGGCTGCTCTAACTTGAATTTCCAGGTGCTTATTAAGGCTCATTAGCTTTCTGTAAAACTGGATCCTCTAGGCTGATAAATAACAAATTACAGCAAAGTCTGTCTGAGGTGTTCTCCAGCTCCAGGAATGTTCTGGAAAGCTTTCCCCAACTTGGCCAGGCCTGAGCTGCCTCAGCCACTGGTTTAGTCACAGAAAACGCCGGCAAGCAAGGGGAGAGGGAAGACTAGTGCTGAAACCAAGCAGCAGCACGTGGGGGGTGGGTATATTTGAACATTTCCATCATAAGAAATTTTAACCTACTTTTTTGGGGGTGTGGGGATACTGGGGATCAAACTCAGGACCTTGTGCTTGCGAGGCAGGCAGCGGCACCACTGCGCTAAATCCCCGGTGGTACCATCATAAGAAATTAATAAAAAGAAAGCCACTTAGTCATTAAGAATTCTTTAACCAGCATGAACATCTTTCCTGAACTTGTTACTTACTCACTTGGATCTAGAAACCAAATCCCAGTAACAAGAGCCAGGACCTATTGGCCATCTCTAAATGGGGAACTTTTGCCATCATAATATCATTATTGCCAGCATCAAAAATGACAGCCTTAATCAACTAATAGTTTCAACCAGCCCTTCTTAACAATTTTGCTAATATTTGTTTGTTGCAGTACTAGGGATGGAACCCAGGGGTGCTCTACCACTGAACATTTCTGTAATCATTTATTTTTAATTTTTAGACAGAATCCTCCCTAAATTTTGCAGGCTGGGCTTGAACTTGTGATCCTTCTACCTCAGTCTCACATGTGGCTGGGCACCACCACACCTGGTAAAGAATTTATTTAGTGGTGCTGGAAATCAAATCCAGGGCTTCACATGTTATGCAAATGCTCTTCCACTAACCTACACCCCAAGACCCAACTATTTAACATTTTTTTTTTTTTTATACTGGGGATCAAACTCGGGTCCCTGTGCTTGTGAAGCAGGCAGTGGCACTACTGAGCTAAATCCCTGGCCCTATTTAGCATTTTAAACATGTATAGAACATTAACGAATGTACCACACTGTTTTAAGCCCTTTTCAATAGTAACTCACTTAATTCCTACCTTCTACCCCCCAGGGAGGCATCATTAGCAGGGGCTGGGCTGGCTCATGCCACTATTAATTAGGACTCATCACCACTGTGCCTCACTGGAGAAAGGGGGAAATGGTATCCAGTAATAATAAAAAGGAAACTGTATTAAGAAAAGCCAAAGTGAGCTACAAGAAAGTCCAGAAAAG